TCATCAAATTGTATCAGATTACTCTTTTTTTCCTCTTCTTTCTTCTAGTTTAGAACTATTTTGGGAGTGCTCTTTACCTTGAGAAAAATAATCTTATTTTGTAAAGGCAAATTTTGTTTTGTTTTCTGAATTTCCTGTTTTCACATACTTGCTTCTATAGTGACAGCTTACCTTAGCTTCTTAGTTTTTCTGCTGACTTTCATGTGTTGCTTTATTTGAACTTGGACTGGAAACCAGCATCTTACCATTATGTCTCTATTCTATTCTGTTTCTGACACCAGTTAATGCTGAGTGAGGCGTGAGACATTTAAAATTTCAGAGTTTTAGTTCATGTCTTTGTGTGCTATTTATTTGAACGATTGAGGGGCCTTTATGTGCTTAATTCTTAGTTATGGACTTATAATTTGCTATAGTTATCAAACCTGACACCTTTAGTTAAATGAGGAGCTATTCCATTTTAAAACCCTAATTTTATGTTTTCACTTTGTTTTTATATAAAGAGTATGCCAAGATGGAAGGAAGCCACATACAATAAGGTTAATAATCCGCCGGTTTTCATCTGAGAAGCACCACAGTCGTGAAAGCCGCCAGTGCCCTATTCCATCTCATATCATCCAGAAGTTAGGGAAAGGTATGGACTCGGTTTCTAAGCCTTTAATTAGCTGGTTAAACTCTTAGTACAAAAAACAAGTTTGAATTAGAAATAGGCTCCCAAGGTGGAGGCGTCTCAAAGGGAGTTAGCAGTATGTTCTATTTGGTACATATTTTCAATGTTGTTATTAAGTGCTGTTGAGTCAATTCCATTTTATAGCGACCTGTATTGGGCTATACGAATCGGACTGCGAACCTTAAGGTCAGCGGTTCGAAACTATCAGCCGCTCCGCGGGAAAAAGATGAGGCTTTCTACTCCCGTAAAGATTTACACACTCGGAAACCCAGTACAGGGTCGCTATGGGTCAGAACCGACTTGACGGCACTTAACAACAACAACAACACCACCAACCCTATGTGAGGACTCAGTTTGCCCTACGTTTGGCATTGTTTCATTTCTTTGATAATACCTATTTTAGTGAGATATGTAAGAGGTATTTCATTGTGATTTTTATTATTTTATACATAGAATGTTCAGTGTTATAACCAAAAACTCATTGACAAACAAAATATTTATTACAAATACTTTTTCTATGTTTTCTTTTGGTTTGAAGCTTCATATTTGTATCCATTTTGCAGGTTTTTGTACATTTGTTTTTACATGTGGTTATCAAATTGTTTTATCCGCATTTATTGAACAGACTGTTCTTTCTCTCATTTAATTGCCTTGGCACCTTTGTCAAAAAGCAGCTGACCATCAGTGTATTTATTTCTTGACTTGACTGTAAAAATGTTGTGGTAGGGGCAGCTGACTCCTTTAACTTCACAAGCAGGAGAGAGGATCACTGCTAGCATCAGCCCAAGGCTCATTCCCATGGGGCAGAAGGTAGACCAGCCTGCGCCCTCTAGCCTTCTTCCCTGTCTGGACACCAGCCATCCTTCTACAACATTCTGCCTCCTCTGCAGTGACCACACAGAACTCATGGACAGTACTTACAGTCGGGGTGTTTATTAGGGAAGTAACGGTTACAATTCAGAATCAGCAAAGACTGAGGATGTAATTCTTCAGTTGGGGCCGCCTCTTCTCAGCCATGCCTTCAGATGGACCTCTCTCTGGCCCTTGGCCCCTTGGGCAAATGTTAGAAAGATTTTTAGCTCTACCAGGAAGTGGCCAGAATGACCCAACTCCATCAGTAAATCTTTGCCCAAAGGTACCTAGCCTTCTAGTTCTGTTGTTGGCCAGCGAGCCTCGCTCTGCCAAGTGCCCAGAGACCCCCACTCTATCTCCTGCTGGTCTTCTGGTTCTGCTACCTCTGTGATCGCCATTTCTCTGCTGCTACTTCTTAGTGTCTCTCACCATCTTTGGTGCTACATCCCTGTCTCCTGGGTTTAGGTGGTTCTCAGAATAGGGACCTCCAGTCCTAGAGAATGTGTTCCACTCCTGCCTCTTGGTTGGAGTCAGGTCCTGTCTCTGCAGAATTCTCTCACCTTTTTTCTCTTGTAAGATAAAAGCCGTGACTCAGGCAAGGGTGATGACTTGAGTTCATCCCACCCTAGTCCTTCCTCCTTAGTGTAACAAGCAACCTAATTCTGTCTCATTACCACGTAGAGGTTGAGATTTATAAGACAAACAATGGAGGGTAATTCTATCAGGAGGTAAGCACACAGTATTGGGATCTATGGTCTAGCCAAATTGACACATACCCCCAACCATCCTAGGGTCCATACACCTTGGTGTGGCACTGTAGGAACGGCACTGGACTGTTAACCTTAAGGTCCAGTGCCCTTCAAACCCACCAGTTGCTCCTTGGAAACCCTATACAAGGTTGCTCTGAGTCGGAATCGATTTGACAGCACTTTGCAACCACAACAACGGGGTAAATACTGGACTGCTAACCATGATTCAAACACATTAGGTGCCATTGAGTCAATTCCGACTCACAGTGACCCTGTTTTAGGGTTTCCAAGGAGCAGCTGGTGAACTTGAACCACTGACTTTGCAGTTCAAATGACTTTGCAGTCTGATGCATTTTAGCCCCCAGCTCCACGCCAGGACTCCCTGGCATTCCACACCTACAACAGCCCCGTCATTATGTGGGAGTTACAAAGACTAGCTCAAAGGACAGTATTAAGTAATTAATTGCAGCATAAATTTCTTGTTCCATTAATGTAGATTCAGTTTATACCAGTTCTTCCCTGTCTGTATTACAGTACCTTTGTTTCAAGTTTTTGAAATTAGGTTGTGTAAGTTTTCCAACTTCATTCTTTTTGAAATTGTTTTGACTATTACAGAATATTTGCTTTTCTGAGTTAGCACACTAACCACTGTTGTTGTTGTTGTTGTTGAAATCAATTTCTACAAAATAGACTACAGAGATTGTGATAGGGACTGGGTTGGATGAAAAGACAAATTCAGGCCTTCTTTAATTTCTTTTATGAGTATTCTGTACTTTTTGATGCACGGGGCTTGAACTTCTTTTTGCTAACTTTATTGCTAAATATTTTAATCTTTTTGCTATTGTGTCTGAAAATGATTCTTAATTTGATTTATAAATTATTTATAATATGTAGAAATACAGTGGATTTTTATATATGAATCTTGTATCCTGCTGCTTTACTAAATTGATTTATTAGGTTTTTTGTGTGTTTTTTTGATCAAAGATTTTATATATGTCGTATCTTGATATCCATGACTAAAGATAGTATTACTACTTTTGTAATCTGTTTATTTTAATTTCTTTTCCCTGTCATAGCACACTGACTAGACCGTGTGACATTGTTGAATAGAAGTAGTGAGAGCAGCCGTCCTTTGGCTGTTCTTAGTCTTAGGAAAGAGCCTTCAGTCTGTCACCATTGACTATAATGTTAGTCTTAGGGAGTTCTTTAAGCATCCCTTGATCAAGAATTTCCTGTCTCTTCATAGTTTTGTTGCAACAGTGAGTTGAATTTTGTCAAATGCTTTTTTGTGTGTGTTAACTGAGCTGATTATCCAGCTAAGTACTGGATTGCTACTGTTGTAGCAGAGAAAAGAGGCCCTATCTTCAAATATGTAAACGGTGTCGAGTGCTGTCCAGTTGGTTCCAACTCATAGCAACCGTGTGTAGGGTTTCTGAGGAGCGGCTGATTGATTTGAACTGCTGCCTGTGCTTAGCAGTCCAGTGCTTATCCTAGAGCACCACACCAGAATCTTTATTAAACGTTAAACAGGAGTAAGCACAAGACAAAGACAAACGTAGATATAACCCAGGTTACTGAAGGAACTAAGGGAACTCGGTGACACCATAATGCGTTTCCTAAGTTCTGTCTTCACATGGTAACCTTTCATAGGGCACAGAGAGCAACCATGACTGAGGTATGCCAGGCCTCTGGAAAGCAGGGAGAGGGGACTATTAGTACAGATGGCAAAGCTTACAGACTTTCTCTGAGGCTCTCAGGCTGTGATGTTGCAACCAGGTGACCCTTACAGGGTTTGGCCAGGAATGTTCTTGCCAGAGCCAGCATTGGGAAGTGGTACCAAACTCTTTTAAACATGTTTTGCTTCTAACTCTGGAAGTTCAGATGTCAGAGGTGCATAATATTACTTGTGACATAATATGTTCCAATTATTTTCTTCTTAACCGTTTTCTGTAGGAAACTATGATGTCAGGACCCCAATGGTTGATATACTTATGAAACTTTTTCGAAATATGGTGCATGTGAAGATGCCATTTCACCTTACCCTTCTAAGTGTGTGCTTCTGCAATCTGAAAGCACTAAATACTGCTAAGAAAGGACCTATTGACTATTACTTAGGACCATCGTTATCAACAACGACACACTCTGGCAAGCGCAGCTTTGTAAGTGCATAATTTTTTTTTAACTTTTGAAAGTATAGGGTTTCAAGATTTGTGGGGCTGAGTAACAAATCTGAGTTTGCATTTGGTTGCTATGATTTAGAGATTCTGGGGTGACAGTGCTTAGATGATTTACTTGTATTAAATATTACTTTGTGTAGCTTTTGCATGTGTATCAGGTGATTGAACAGACCATGGCTTAGGTCAGGAGAACCTAAGTCTTCAAATGCATTTAAAATTTTAAAGGGGTCTTTTGCAGCTGATTTATTCATTGTATTATATCAGTGATTTCTGGACTGCTTCATGTTGTTGTTATTACATGCCGTGGAGTCGGTTCCGACCCATAGTGACCCTGAACAGGGTTTCCGAGGCTGTAAATCTCAATGGGAGTAGAAAGCCTCATCTTTCTTCCACAGAGCAGCTGGTAGTTTCGAACTGCTGATCTTGAGGTTCGCAGCCCGATTTGTAACCACTATGCTACCAGAGCGCGCCTTGGACTGCTGCATACATGGACCTTAATTGTTGATTCAATGAAATCCTTGACAACTTCAATTTTCTATTTATCATGATGCTCTTTATTGGTCCAGTTGAGGATCTTTATTTTCTTTACGTTCAGACATAATCTGTACAAAAGCCTGTGGTCATGGGCCTTGTCAGTATGTGTTTCAGATTTTCTGTAAGCAAGGTTGTACCATCTGCAGATCTCAGGTTTGAATGAGTTTTCTTCCCATCCTGATGCTGTGTTTTTCTTCATAAAATTCAGTCTCACAGATTATTTGTTTGCTCAGCATAGAGTTTGAATAAGTAAGGTAAAAGGACACAACCCTGCCGCACACTTTTTCTAATTTTTCACCATCTAGTATTATTTCTGTTCAGATAACTGACTCTTGACCCACATATGGCTTCTGCATGAACACAGTGAAGCGTTCTGGAATTCTCCTTCTTTGTAATGGTATCCATAGGTTGTTATGACCCACATAAATGCCACATTCAAATTTTTGTTGGTGAAGAATATTGAATATGCCAATGACTGCCAAAGGAACAAACAAATCCGTTTTAGAAGAAATACAGCTAGAAAGCACCTTAAGAATTGAGATTTTGACTTGCTTGCTTGGAATAGAATATGTCATCAGGAAAGACCAATCTCTAGACTAGGATCACCCAAAACAAGGGACCCCCTCAATGAGCTGGATGGACACATGCGTACCAGTGGTCATGAAGATGAGACAGGAACGGGCAATGTTTCCTTGTGATATCCACGAGGCTGTGATGGATGGGAGCCGCCATGACAGTAGCCAGCAACAGCAGATTATGTATTGTGGATGCTGGTCTTCATTCAGTACTGTGAACAAGGAAGACCATGTAAGCATTACTAGATAACTGAGGAGACCATCATAACGGACCCGATTGGGAAGTGTTAACACTTTCTATAACAGTATGTAGGAGTCTGATAGATTAGCTCATAAATAGGAAAATATTTCCAGATTCTGTTAACATAAGTATTTTTGTTAGTTTATGCCCAAGCTACACGCCCTCCTCCCCCATAATTTTTCTCTGTTGAAGTGTTTTTTTGGGGCTTAGTTTTGAAATCGTACTGCATTTTCATGGCAACACTGATAAGACAATTGGTTTCTCAGCTGTTGAAATTGAGTGCATGGCAGTACAGAGTCAGAGGCCAGCCACGTTTTAAAAGCACAGAAACAGAAGCCACTCTGTGTGATAGCTTCGTGGATCTGTGCTTATTACAATTTATTAAATGTGGGCTGCTTTGAAAAATAATCATCATTTACTAAATTGTCCATGGAGTCCTGGTGTGGCATTGTAGGATAAGCACTGGACCGCAAACTGCAAGGTCAGCAGTTCAAACCTACCAGCTGCTCCTCAGAAACCCTATACCGGGTTGCTATGAGTTGGACCCATTTGACAGCACTTAACTACAGTAACAACCTAATCATCCTGTGTAATATTACTAATATTTTATTTACATTTAAGTTTATAATGAGCACAGAATAGTGTTATAAAAATAATGAATTGGTGCCCTCTTCAAATTTCTGTTACTGCTAACTCTCCTAACATTTAAAAAGATATGTCCTTTTTATTTTCAGTAAATCTTTAGAAGGAGAATGATAGGTCCCTAGTTGACAAAGACTGTCCTCAAACTCAAATTCACTATCACCTAGTCGCTTCCGACTCATAGTGACCCTGTTTAGAGTTTCAGAGGCTGTAAATCATTACAGGAGCAGAAAGTCTTGTCGGTCTCCCACAAAGAGGCCAGTGGGTTTGAACTTCTGACCTTGTGGTTAACATTCCAGTACTTACACTAGAGCCCCACCAGAAGGGTTTACAGAGGTTTTATGGTGATGATGTACCACTGAGTCGGTTCTGACTCATAGCGACCCTGTATAGGGTTTCCGAGGCTGTAAATTTTTAAAGGAGCCGGAAGACTCACCTGTCTCCTATGGAGCTACTTGTAGATTCAAAGTACTGATCTTGCAGTTATCAGCCCAACTTGTAATCCGCTACACTATCAGAGCAATTATACAAATATGAGTGAAATTCGTTGTATATCTGGCACACAGTGAGTGCTTGCTACATATTATGACCATAATCACTTCTTTTATTTTCATTTTATTTTTTGACATTACTGTTGTGTTGATGTTAATGCCTACATTTGGCTGTGCATACTTTTTTATGATTCTTAAAACTAGAGGAGAAAATTTAGTACAATACTTTACTTTGAAAATGTATACAACTAGAATTGCAGATTTAAAATTTACTTCATTTTAAGTAAATATATACTGGTATGGAGCATCGGGGCTCTGTAGGGTTAGCAATAAACGGCAAACCACAAGGTCGGCAGTACTACTCCACCAGCCACTCCTTGTGAGACAGATCAGGCTTTCTGCTCCCACAAAGATTTGCAGCTTTGGAAACTATACTGAGTCTCTGTTAGTTGGAATCAATTCAACCACACCTAACCACCACAGGAACTGGCATTACATCGTAATAGTGATGTTGGATTTTAATATAAAAGTACGTACTCTCATTAAACATTATACTTCAGAATAGCAACTCTTAGAATATCAGCCCTTGATGTGCTGTACATGTATTGTTTTTTGTAATGCCCTAGGCCAGTCACATACTTCTTCTAGGCTACCTTCTTTTATTCACAAAATTGGAAGATTGAATACGTGATTGTTAAGATCTTTTCCAGGTTTCCAAGTGCACGTTTAATGTCTGGCTCAGTGCCATCTCTGTCTAGCATAGAGAGCTAAGATTCATACAGTAGTGTAGTTGATGGTGGTGGCTACATGATTTCTAGTTGTTTGGAACTGACCTAAAAGGATTGAAGTTGTTGAGTATGTGTTAGAAGCATGTTGTCACATAACAGCTACAAGCACACTTCAAGAGCATGGATACATAAAGAATATCAGATATCTAAATAACTCTGTTATCCTTGTATTCTAGAAAATCAAAGACACTCACATGGAAGATTTTTCAAAAGACAAGGAAACAAACCGGGATTTTCTACCGAGTGGAAGAATTGAAAGTACAAGAAGTGGGATGTCTTCCCTGGATACTACACATTTTTCTGAAGATACTAATGAACGTCCACTCTCTTCACTTCCTGAGGGCATTGACCAAGATGTTTTTAAGCAGCTTCCAGTAGATATTCAAGAAGAAATCCTCTCTGGAAAATCGAGAGAAAAATTTCAAGAGCAAGGGAGCTTGAGTTATCCATTACATGCTTCTAGAGGAGTATTATCTTTCTTTTCTAGAAAACAGTTGCAGAATACTCCCACCAACCCTAGAGACCATTTATCCAGTAGCACGCAGGTATCAGCTGTCTCTCCCTGTGAACCAGGAACATCAGGCTTAAACAGCAGTAGTTCTTATCTGACTGGCCCCAAGGATTATGGAGATGAACCACTGAGTCAAGGACCTAAAGACTCTCAAGGATTCAATTTTGCAAATACCAACCCTGCTGTATCTGCTGTCCATTCATTTCCAAATTTGCAAAGTGAGCGACTGTTTTCCAAAAACCATACTACAGATAGCCATAAGCCACCCGTAGCAACAGTCTCTCACCATGTAGGGTTGACAGAAAATAGCCAGCAAAGTTCTGCTGAGGAGAAAACAATTTTTCCTTCTGATATTGATCCTGAAGTTTTCTATGAACTCCCAGAAGAAGTACAAAAAGAACTGCTGGCTGAGTGGAAGAGAGCAGGATCCTATTTCCAACTTGTACATAAATAGGCTTGTTCAGAAATAAGAAAAGTGTGAAAAGCAAGGAAAGTGCCATTGTTCCTAGATTAGCAGCTTGCTAAGTTCTTGTAAGTTAAATATTAACTGATAATAATGTAGAAATCGGGTCCAAAATGTTCCAGAGAAAGCAAGAGTTGGTACAGGAAGTCAGTTCCTACACAGATCATAACATGTAGCAAAATAAATCATGTAACATATGATCTTATTTCTAAAGGTATTTTATGTTATTTTTCAATAAAAAGAATATCATGGTCTGCATTAGTTCATTTTCATTAATGGGGAGGAAGATGTATATGTCTGAGAGGAACCAAATGGGTGAACAAAATCATTGGTATGCTTTGGCAAAGAACAGTTTTTTCACTTGAAATGTGGAATAATTCAGTCCATTAGGAGACAAGCAAATAAGAAATCCAACTGCTAAGTAGCATATTACAAATGTAGATCTCTGATTCAGATGCTACGTTGCATTTAATAAGTTGGTTTTTTAAAATACCGTATCAGTTCATGGTTAGTCAGTGCTTAGTATACAGAGAACCTAATGTAATATACAGCACCCAGATACACCCAGTAAATAATGAATTGTGGGGCAGGCCCTGGGTGGGCATTAGACAGAAGTGGATGGTTGTGTGGGACAGAATATTAGAGCTGTGCATACTAGGAGATTAGAGTAATTAGGGACACTAGAAACACAAGGTCACGGGCCATCAAGGATGCTGGATAATTGACACATCGAGCCAGTTTGTAGGGTCTGAAAGTAAAGGAATCGATTTCTTGGACCTTGTCTGCATTTTTGAGTATAGATAGTATCTATACATGTTTACTAAATTGGCAGATGCCCTCTCAGTGTTGCCACTGTCTTCCTCTTGTGTCTGTCACCTTAAAAAATGACCATAAAATTGAGGGCACCCTTTGCCACCCAGCCTGCATATTCAGCATCTTCTAGAAATGCAAATTCTTAGGCCTTAGGTTTAAAAAGCCAAACTAACTGCTGTTGAGTTGGTCTTCGTTTGGCCTGTTGTGCTGCAGGGTAGACTGGTGCGCTCCCTGGGGTTTTTAAGGCCATGACCGTTTGCAAGTAGGTTGCCAGACTTTTCTTCCAAGGTGCCTTGGTGAGTTCAGTTAACAGTTGAGTGCTTAAGCCACCCAGGATGCCTACTGGGGCTCAATCTTACCAAGTGCTTCAGATTTTCCTGATGTATGGTAAAATGTGAGACTCACGATTCTAATCCCTCTGTACACAAAGTGTGGTCCACAGACCAGCAGCACAAACGTTACCTGGAAGCTTGTTAGAAATACAGAGTCTCAATCCCCACACATATTCAGAATCTGAATTTTAACAAAATCCTAACGATGCAAATGCAGATTGACAATTGCAAGCACAGCTCCGGTGCATTGTTTTCAACCCCAGGATGTACATCAGAAATTTCTGGGAAACATTTTACAAACACTGATGTTAAGTGCTCTTGAGTCAGTTCTAACTCATAGCAACCCTGTATGGGGTTTCCAGTGAGTTGCTGGTAAGTTTTAACTGCCGACCTTGTGGTCAGCAGTTCTGTGCTTAACCGTACAGCATCACAGCAGAACTCCTAAAAACACTGATGATATAGGCCCTAACCAAGACTTACTACATCAGAATCCCTGGAGGTGGGCCCAGGCCTCAGTCATTTTGAAAGTTCTCTGGATGATTCTCATGTGACGTAAGGAGAAACCACAGTGCTTTTGCACACACTGGACACCCAAATATTGACTAAATGGAATGGCAATGATTGAACTCCCTGGTAGAAATGGAAAAGCAAGCATCTTAAAATTTTCTGCACATCTAAACCAGGTTGGCATTTCCAAGGGATTTCCTCATAACCATGTATCTTCAGCCTTCGCTTCTCAAGGTGTTCCCCCCACTACCATCAGCACCACCTGAGAGCTAGGCTGTGACTTTGTGTGTGTGTGTGTTTGCTGTTCTCCCAGACCAGTGAGGTGAAATACTTTGGGGCTCTAGAAATTACCTCAGAGCCTCGACTTGCAAATGATAAGATGTCCTTAATCTTTTTTTTTTTTAAATTAATAATTAAAAGCACTGTCAAGAAAGTGAAAAAATTTTTAAAAAAATATTAACAATCAACAAAGGAAGAGACTGGAGATAAGGCTCAGGAAACCCTCAACTGGGCTAGACTTCCAGTCAAGCCACCATATGGAGTCTTGGTTTCTTTTTACCAGCTCCACAAAAACGAAATGGACATTCGTCAATATGTATGATGCGCTTGAATAAAAGAGTGAGTGTGTAAGTTACAATGTCCAGGGTACTTAGAACGGTGGCTTCCTTTACTTACTTCTGACCTTTTGGAAAATGGGCCAGTTTGTGAGATTTCCTGTGGTGAGGGCTGCCTTAGACCAAGAAGGACTAGAGTCAGAGTCAGGTGTCTTCAGATTATGTGAGATTTAGGCCAGCAGTGGAAGGGTCCCACAGGTAGAAATGTTGAGTTGATGTATGTTCTGCAGCAACAACAAAAATTAGTTTAAAAAAGAAAACAACAAAAAAGTCAATGCTTGCCCAGAGAGTATAAAATGTTAGTGCTTTCAAACTAAGAAAACCAGTGAAATAAATGTAATCACAGTCAAAAAAGGAATTCTTAGTACTTGGGAACCCAGACTTTGGGGGTAGGTAGAAAGTCAAGAGTTTCTAACTAAAATGAAAACTGACTATAAATATAAGGTTACTTCCTCCCTGGTCTACCAGAGAATGTTAAAAATAAAACAGGAAATCTAGGTAATTATAAAAAAGAGAGACTTGAATACAAAGCACACAATACAACTATTGGTGTGTTCCTCTGGAGCAAATGAGGACATCAAAGACTCAGGGAATGAATGAGTTTACAGGACCATCTCCAAAGGCCAGAAGAACTAAGTGGTGACTGGCAGCCACATGCTGACCATTCTGACCAGAGTCACAATAGATGGTCCCAGATAGAATGGGAAAAATATTAGAACAAAAGTTAAAATTTAAATTAGACTGTCAGAGGCTTGGTGAATCAAGACCGTTACAGTGAGATGCGCTTTAAACTTTGAACAGAAACTAGTCTCGGAGGTCACTTTTCAACCAAATAACAGATTGACTTGTAGACAGTGTCATCTGTGAGTTGCTGGTTATGTGCTGTGGAGTTGGTTCCGACTCATAATGACCCTATATACAGGGTTTCCGAGGCTGTGAATCTTTACGGGAGCAGAAAGTCTCATCTTCTGCGGAACAGCCGGTAGTTTCGAACTGATGACCCTGGGTTAGCAGCCCGACTCATAACCACTATGCTACCAGAGTTCTTTAACATAAAGATGAGATGGTCTGGGGTGTAGGGAGTGGGAGGAGAGTGGTGGGTAGGAGGGGCTGTGGGGAGCAACAATAGTGGAAACTGAACTACCAGAATGGAAATAATGACAAAATTGACACAATGTGGAAAATGTCACTAATGTCACTGAACAATATGAATGGAAATTGTGAATTAAATGGGACCCTACTTTGCTGTGTAAACTTTCACTTAAAGGGCAATAAGATATTAAATAAACAAAGCACACAAAAATAGTATAAAGTGATTAAAAATACAGTGTTTTTGTTTAGTTTTTTTTTTTTTAATTTAGTTTTAAAATACTTTTTTTGGTGTCAGAGTTTTAACTTTGTTTCAGATTTCCTGGATTTAAAAAATTTCCTAACCACCAAGGACTTTTAACAAGAAATTTGGATTTTCAAAAATAACATGAACAAGAAGTTGTTCTTCACGCAGCTGTTTAGCACTCTGGATTAAAGACTGTAAATGACATGTAGTACCTTCTACATGTAGCATTCTGGTTGTTGTTGTTAAGTGTCATCGAGTTGGTTCCATCTCGTAGCGACCCTGTGTACGGTTTCCATGGCTGTATGTCTTTCCCCCAACGAGATGGATTGGCCAAGTGGCAGCATCAATGGACTCAAGCGTGTCAACAGTAGTGAGGCTGGCCCAGGATTGGGCAGTTTTTCATTCTTCTGTGCATAAGGTCGCTATGGGTCGGTACCAACTCGATGGCATCTAACAACAACAACAGATATCTTTGCAGAAGCAGAAAGCCTCATCTTGCTCCCTCGGAACAGCTAGTGGGCTCGAACTGCTGACCTTGTGGCTCGCAGTCTAGCGATTATTATGCAGAGCACTGGTAAGCTAATTAAACTCATAAAAGGAATATAATGCTTTTTGAGGATAATTCGTTTTTTAAAAATTTCTGATGATCCCTGTGATGATACCAAAATTTTACATGGATAGCTGGAAAGGTTCTAAGAGGGAAAAAAAGAAAGCAATTTTAGCTGGTTTTAAAAAAAGGTAGGTAGAATGTTGTTTTCCAGTGCCTTTGAGTGTGCACAGCAGAATGAAACACTGTCCTGCGCTATCCTCCTAACTGTTACACTTGAGCCCATTCCTACGGCTGCCATGCCAGTCCACCTCACTGGGGTCTTCCTCTCTCTTGCTGACCCTCCCTTTACCAAGCATGTTGTTGTTTTCAAGGGACTGGTCCCCCACTGACAAGAGATGTAAAAAGTAATAGGACAATGGTAAAAAGTACAAGTTGTAGAATGAGAACACCCGGAATATATCACAACTGTTATTTATTCTCTGGCCTAAATTCCTTTTTTGACATCTTTGTGTCTCTAAATCTTATTTTTTATTTGTTTTTTAAGATCATCTCTTTTCCCCTTTTATTTTCTAAAGATATACTGTAATGTTTGGAGGGATGAGTTTCTTTTTACTTATTTTTCTTCATTATGCTATAGATTCTCATTCATGTTAAATTTTGTAAAACTCTCTCAGCCACAGCTCTTCAATTGTTATTTCTCCACTGTTCTGCTAGGACTCTGATTGTTCAAATGATGAACTTTTCCTTTTATCTCTCATGTCCCTTAAATCTTGTCTATTTTCCAAGAAACAAAAAAAACATCTTGTTTCTCTTGTGCTGTATGTTGGGTATTTTAATCA